AATAACTTACCGAAAACAGTTTTTTAATGTGAAGAACCAAGATATCTAAATCACATTCATGATGCAACGGGTTTGATACCAAAATTATTGGTAAATAAGCTGAAAAACAAATTTGAAAAGTTCTAATGATAAAATGTGTTATGAAATATTGTCTTTAATTGTATTGAATGTACGAAAAGGAGCGCAGAACACAAAAAATATTTTCTTCATATAACTATTTAATATTAAAATATTGTAGTCAGAACAATTAAAAATGATTCAATGTAAAAAAAAAATATATTATTTAAGGAGATGTTAATGTATTCAGAATGTATGTGTTATATAATTGGTACCTATCATTGTTATAACTGCTTATCTTTAAGTGTAAAAAGTTGCTCACTTTATACAGTGATTATCTATCGAAACATTTTAATTTTGATGTATGATTTAAGTATAAAATATGTTACTTTTTGTGTCAAGATGATAGAGGTATCAGAATTGCTATACAACATTAAGTTTTTTTAATATTAAAAATACAAAAAGAGATAATGGTCAGTTGAGCCATGTCGTTTCGCAATTAGTGACTGCTGCAGATACAAGGCTACAGTTTGGCCACCCCTGCTAAAAAAGTCCTTAAGATTATATATAAAATAAAGTATTTGTATTTGATACATACCAAGGAATCTTAATAGATATATGGGTCCATACACATAACACCAAATTTTTTTAGGACTTAGGTGTTTTTCAAAAATATAGGTTATGTTTGGTTGATTTCTTTTTCTTTGCTGAAAATATTCAATGCCCTAAAACAGACAATATAAAATACATAACTATTATAAAAATAAAATTGTATTTACTTATTTTATGAAGTTAAAAAGTTCATAGTTTTAGAATAAAAATGTTGTGTTTAATATTTCAGTAAGGCTACTTATAATATAAGTCTTATATCCTCCTATAATATAACAGGTAACTTCTTGCACTCCTAGTGATATGTATGTGATGGGATTTACAGTCAATGTAATACCAATTAAGCTTGTTATTTCTCTTTCATTGTAATTGTAGTGAATATTGCTAAATTGTTTATAGAATTAAAATACAATAAAAAAGTATTTAATAAAACATTTTTATTTATAACTAAATCAGAACTTATGATAAGGTATAGCAGCATAATATGGTACCACCCGTCAGTTTGTTTTAGAAGGGAACTACACATTTTTTTGTTTCTAGACAATGAATGTATTGGTTAAACAATTTGTGTATTAACCAAAACCTACACAATTTATGTTATTTTATCGGTTCTGAATCGTTTTTCCATATGCAATAATTATGAATTCTGAATTTGAGAGGACTTCATACCCGAATGATACATAATGTTGTCTCAGTTTTAAACATGCATGGCAAAATAGCAAATTTTTGTTCCCCTTTTCAATATTATGCTGTTAGTTTTAATATTAGAGAGAATCGACCTATTATAAAATGTAAAGGTAAAATTATATAGGGCACAAAGTAAGCTTTTATTTATATAACAGCAAATAAACCAAGTTGAAGATTTAGGTTTTATTTTTACTCCAACATTATCGTTTGCACCTCATATTGACTGGATAGTAGGCAAAGAATTGTGATCGTTAGGGTTTATAATGCAACATGAAGGGTCTGTCATGTCTGTAAGATGTTTGTTAATATGATATACTTCTATTGTTAGATTAATTGTAGAGTATGGATCTGTGGTATGGTTTCCAAGGACCAAATGTGACATAATTCAAATTGAACGAGTTGAGCATCGTTGCTTGAACATGGTTTCACAATCTATGGGCAATATTCATGAACCCCAAGAATGTATTACAAGATTCCTTATAAGATTTTCTACATTTATCAAAAAAAAAAAAATGTCTATAAGAACGTCAAATTAAATTTTTATGACCGTTTGAAATTTTTACAACATTGGAATGAATAATAAATATGATGGCATAGTGCACACATGTTGTAAGTGCAAAATTTTGGAAAAATGAGTTATTTGCATGGTTGTCTTGTTAACAACTCTTCGCATATTGTGTACAAATATTGTGAGTGTATAGTACATATTATTTAGTCTACTAAAGGACGGTGACGTTTGTTGTAAGTGCACGTGATCTAAATTAATGAAATCACAATTGTTGCAAGTGATTTTATAACATTTGTAATTGATAATTTTGGTTACTTGTTTTACGTAGAAATGTTGTAAGTGATGTCTGCACTGTTTTTAAGCTCATTTAATATTATTAAGATAGACGGACAGATAGACATTCAGTGCTATTGAATATTAATATAGTTATCTCGTTTTATCATTAACTATTTATAGATATTGCTGTTGATTTATTAATTTATTTACTAACGTAACAAATAGTATCAAACTTTTTTATTAAATCTAAGATTTTAAAATGTAATACAAGATTCCTTATAAGATTATCTACCTTCATAAAAAAAAAATGTCTATAAGAAAGTCAAATTAAATTTTATGAACGTTTGAAATTCAAATTTTTACAACATTGGATATTCACTCGATTTCTCATGTATCGATTTCCTTATTTTGTTGTATTTCAAAAACGAATAACTATAGATACATGGAAATTTCACTAAATGTTTATATTAGCATTTACTATACCCCATACAGTATTGAAAATATTTTGACTCTTTTTGGGCTGTTTACGGACATTTTCAGTTTTCAATTTTTTTAGTTTTTTTTTCTATAAATATCAATAAAGTTTTTTCTGGTGGGCCAAAAAGTGTAAAAACTTAATTCAAGGCTCCTGATATATTGTTACAATATCAGTTGAAAAATATTAAAAAATAAAAATACATAGGCACAATTTTTTTTATAAGCATTTAATGATCGAATTTTAACAAAATGTATCAAAATCTCGAAAATCATCAATCATTGTAATTAATAAATTACAAAATGTTCAGTTTTTATAGCTAAGGATTGCAAATTTAAAACAAAGGTTCTATCTATGATAGTATCAAGGTTTTTGTTGATGTATAACGCGTCATAAGTACCTAATGGATATTGTGATATGATTAATTTGGAATCTATTATATGTAAAATTTTGGTTTAGTACCCTAGATATGTATTTAATAGGTCTTATACCTAGACTGACATACCGTCTCCGCTCAGAATCGTTTTTCTTATAAAATGATATTATATCAAATTTAATATCATCCATTATACAATGACCCACTTGTAACCTACTGTACAGCAGAGCGACACCCACTTGTCCACCTTTTTTTTAAAATTATTGTTCTGTTTGAATTTTTAATATTATAAATAATTTGGTGATATATTACTACCTATTATTATGATAAGATCAAGGGATAATAATTTGGTCAATCTTGCACTATGTAAAGGATAGCGTTTTCAGCATCTCTACACTTTCAAAGTAATCAGAATCATGAAAATAATAATAATTTTGAATTTTACGGTAAGTGCTTTTTTGTTTAATATTATAATAAAATATGTTAAAATTCATAATTTTATGAAATATTTAAAAATTTAGAATCAGGTGAGGCTTTGCCATCTGAGGTGTATTCTAAAGATTTATATAGGACACCTAGAATTGATGATGATAAATCGAATGTTTACGATCCAATTGGAAGAGTAAACTACACAATTGAAACTATTACAGCTATGCCAGGTAACAACTCAAAATCATTAATTTGACATAAATAATATTAATGTGTTTAATGCATAATCTATAATATAAAAATGAATCGCAAAATGTGTTGGAAAGCGCATAACTCAACAACGCCTGGACCAATTTGGCTTAAATTTTTTTTAAGATGTTCGTAATTGGCAGGAGAAGGTTTTTAGAACGAAAATTTTAGGAAAACTACAGGAAAAGTAGGAAATCTGAATGTAAAAAAACAACAGTGGCGCCACAGTGTATTATATTATATTGATTGCTATTGGTTAATCGGGCGTGTTTGTTGATTTGTATTATTGTTTTTTGTCAATATATCCTATTAATATTATAAATGCGAAAGTTTGTGACTTTGTTACTCTTTCACGTAAAAACTACTGGTCCGATCTTGATGAAATTTTTACACTGTGTGTATTTTGGTCCAACTTAAAACATAGGCTAATTTTAAAAGGGAGAGGACAAACCCCGGGAGACGCTCAATCGGGAATTTTGAGATTTTAGATGGAAATTTTTGTTTATAAATGGTTGTCATGGGGTTTTAAGCTATTATAGTAATAATAATAATAGAAAAAAAATATATTTGCTTTACATTTTAAATATAAATTATGTTTAATGGGATTAAATAAATCGATTATTTTAATCAACCGTAGGTGAAATTAATTAAAAACGACAAACTTGGTACAATTTTTTTTAACCGATAATAAGTAACTTTATCATGTTTAAATCGTAATCAAACTAAAACAAGTAAAACATTTAAATTGTCTATAAATAGCTCAGAATTACAGGCAATCTCAATGTTTACCTCTTTAAAGTTCTAACTGGATTCAACTAGAAACCCTCCTCAAATTTAAGATCAAAACATTTTTCCTACTATAATATGTAGAAAAACAAAAAACAAATATTATTGTAAAATCAATACATTCATCTCTGATTAGATTCTGATGTTCTTGGAATGTTAAATATTTAAAAACGGAAATCATTAAATTATGACCTTGTATTAAAACATGCTTTATTTTACATGATCGATTATTTTGTTATTACCTTATCGTATATTCTGTATCTTTTCTCGTTGTTGTATAATAAATATTTGTGAACAGTAGCATTAAAATATTGCATTAAAGTTACACATAACATCGTTGAAGTTTTCCTGAAACAAATATTGTATAAAATATTTTTTAATAATAAATTTAGATAGTTATTAAATAATTACTTTTGGCTATCATCGTCAAAATAAGATGATTGAGTGAAGGCGTACAAAATTTCTGACAAAAAATGTTTCTCTGGAAATTTTAATAACTAAAACCAAGCAATCAATATTACAATAATAACAATAATGACGTATAAAAATAAAATGTATCGTACTTTTTTGAATGAGTTGTGCATTATAAAATCCAAAAACATTGCTTTCCGTAAAATGTGTGGTACAGCAATATTGTGTAATTTGTCAGCAAGGAGCTAAAATAAAAATTAAATTGAAATAGATACTTCAAATTCTTAACTTAATTAATACACTATTTGTAATACCTTTGAATGTGGAATGGTGTTGGAGACAATATTAGTGACAAGACCATTTTTTCTCAATACTGGTTTTGGCGAAGATTTAGGTTTTTGGATATTTTATTTTTTTTGATTTTTGGAATATTTCCTACATTAAATAATTATCATAAATATTTTTTATAAATAAATGGTGATAAGTGATGAGTAGTAATAATTAATCAATTACTTACAGTCTCTCTATTAGCCTCTCCTTGTGTCCCAAATTAATGTCGTTAATCTCCAATACTTCACCATAATCAATCCATTGATCCCATTTTGAATTGAAGCCTTTAAAATGAATAAAATATTCAATGTTTCCCCTAATGTCTGAAATGCGCCGCCTTAAAACTTTTGCCTCATACAACAAACCCTTATCATAGGCTAACACTTTGTCACCTAATTAAGAATAAAACATCAGTCATTACAATTAAAGTAAGCATTTTAGTTATTATAGTTAACCCTATTTAAATAAATCAACAGTTTTCAAAGGTCATATATACTATTGGTTTTTTTTCATACATTATGTTATACTTTATTTTTATTTATAATATACAGCTGTAAAAATACAAACAAGTTTATTACATTAATTTTTTTTAATATTACTTTTTGATATATTTATATTGTTATAAAAATTCATATTTTATTTCAATTTTTAAAGTTTTAAAATGTTGTTATTATTTAAAAAAAATATAATTTACACTTGTATTATTTTTATTACATACGCTTGTACTATTATATAATACTATAATTATTACTCTTTTGTTAAATTTGTATTAATTCTAAGAAATGTAAGAATTTAAAAAAAATAAAATAAACATACTTATAAAATCTTTTATAGTACCTACAACATGTAACATTAAGTTTTAATTATTATTATATAGGTACCTATGTATAAATCTATAGACTGTCTTGCGAATAGTGATTATGTTTAGTTAAAAGTAATCATAATATATGTGTATATACATATACATTAATCATATATAGTCAGGATGGTACTATTACATTTAATTCATTTTAATAACATGTTATCATATTTTAATTATGTATTTTTTTTAGAAATTACATATATTATATACTAAATTTGGATTAAAATAATATGTATAGGTACCATAATTTTATCTTGCTATAAAATGGAACATTTTATTAATTTTATAATTCAATGCCGAAAGTATATCCATGAATACAAAAAATAACAGGTTACACGTGTTAACAATATAAAGTGTTGGTTGTGTTCTTTATTGGTTTAAGGTTAACTTAAGCAAATCTAGTCAGTATCGTAGAAGAAAGTGAGCTGCTACAGTTCTTACTGCTTCAATGTATTCATCATCTCGTTCTGGTAATGAGTATAATAATGATTTTCATCAAAACCCACTTCCTCATATTGCATTTCCATCAAATTCAGAAATGTATGAACTTTGTTCATCACCAATAGTACACACACAGGAAGAAGTAACTTTAACTAATGATGATGAAGATTGTAGTGAACTAAGTTCTAGCTCTAGTTCTAAGAGAGAAACAGAATTTAATCCAGAAATTGATGGTGGGGTTAATTTAACTATTGCTAAATGGGCCATTCAAAATAATATTACTCGCATGGCTTTAGACGATCTGCTCAAAAATTTATCAAAGTATCCACAATTTAAGGAATTACCCATAGATTCTCGAACATTATTAAAAACACCCACCAAAACTATTATTAAAGAAATGAAAGGGGGTAGTTACTATAATTTTGGAATCTTTGATCAAATTGAACATTTGATAAAATCTGGTACTTCGCTTCCTTCAATACTCATGCTAATGGTTGGAATAGACGGATTACCCATCACAAAAAATCCTCCTAGTCAATTATGGCCTAATTTAGGGTATTTTTCAAATATCTCTGACTCTAGTGTTTTCATTATTGGTTCATATTATGGTAAACCAAAACCAGAAGACAGTAATAAATTTTTAAGTAATTTTGTAAATGAAATTTGTGTGCTAATTAATGATGGTGTGATGTATAATAATATCCATGTAAAACATCATCTAAAAGCTCTTATATGTGATGCCCCGCCAAAATCGTTTGCATTAAATTTTAAGGGACACACTGGAAAAAAAATCATGTATTCGTTGTCATACTATTGGTTCTTTTGGGAATAATCGTATTTATTTTCCTCAAATTAATGCACCACTTAGAACTCATGATGAATTTAGATTATATTCTGATTCAGATTTTCATTGTGGGAAAACAATTTTGTTAGATATACCTAAATTTGATGTAATTTCTTCTGTGCCATTTGATTACATGCATTGTATTCTCATTGGTGTCACCAAAAAATTATTAATGTTCTGGACTGGTGGAATAAAACAACACAATCAAAATCTTCCGAAAAATTGAATTTCCGCAATTGATAAAAAATTGACAAATTTATCTCAATATATTCCTCAAGAATTCCAAAGAAATCTAAATGAAAATATTCGAAAGCATCCTCTACAGTCTACACGATGTATCCCGGTGAAAGGCTACAGAGTTGAGACAATGTCTCCTCTATACGGGTATGGTAGTTTTTAAGGATTTTCTCAGTAAAAAAAAATATCACCATTTTATGGAATTATGCGTCGCTATAAGAATTCTCTCTACCCTCTCTAAACTTCTCTAAATTTGGTATTCAAAATGGCTTAAAACACAGTGCAGGGACAGTAAATTCACCGTGTTCCACACAATTGATTTATTGATGATTTGACACAATCATAGCACAGTAATTGCTACCCGAGTATGTTTTTGTAGACGTTTCGTACGAAAAGTTTCGAGAATACGACATTTTGAAACATTACGCCAAAATGGCGGATTTCCTACATTTTGCTCGTTCGTTTTCGTTGCGTAGTTTTCGAGAATAGTCTCCCACTAGCCACGCAATTGAACGGGGTAAATCAGCAGCATAAAGTGGATTACACACTAGGCGATTCGAACGCGACCGAACGCGCGTCTCATTTACTTGTGTGAATAAGCCCATATAAAAGTATATGTTTGATTTTGGGCGATTAATCGCGACGTTCCAAACGCGCGTTCGAATCGCCTAGGTAGTGTGTAATGCACTTTAATGTATCTACCTAACTAAATTAACACTTTTCACTTACCCACGGAGAACTCGTATTCCACTTCCATTATGATTTATGAGTTATGAAATCAGATAAATCGACAAACCTCAAACAGCCGACACGACACAGTAAAACACGTTACAAAATATGAAACAGCGGCTGTAAGGACGTATCAGAGTAAATACTAGCTGCAGAGTGCTCACGTGATCACGCAAAGGCGAACTATCTATTATAAATTATTATCATTAGTCATTTGTCCCGTTACGACATAATATAACAATATGGAAGCGAAAATCGATCAGGGGAATACTGATTGGGGTCTTGGGTTAGGTTGATCTGAAGTCTGAACCTACGAAAAACATGATAACGGTTCCATGACTGTGGCGGGATACGAGTAGGTAGCGATCGTCGGTCAGTTGTGCGAAAGTGGGCGTAGCGCGTCTGCTTGGCGTACAGACTGCGCAACGATAACAGACCTGCGACCTGGCGGCGTATTTTACGGACCGTAACTGAGTTCAGCCAAACGGGTATGCACATCACCCAATGCGCACGCTCGTGGCAAATCTGTCAATTAGATATTAGAATTTGACTTGTGTCAAGAAGTCTAAAATTATTAACAAACAGTTTACCTATATATTTTTTTTTAATTGTACACAAAATGTATTTAATACCAGGCCCACACACCGCCGATGTAAGACCTTAGACCTGCGGTGGATCTGGCGTTAAAATAACGCGACGGCGTAATTTGATGCATAACCGATATACGGCGGTCTTACAATATATAAAATATAATAATAATAGTACAAGGGCCGTGGGCGGTATGGTCATATTTTGCTTGCCCAGAGCTGGGTCAGCGGCGTGGCCTGGGGTGGGAGTATGTAGTATTAATTGTGTAGGTAGGTACCTATTATTTTAACTAAAAACTACGTTGATGTAACATGAAAATTATGTAGACACGACATAATCGAAATTAATAGAAGACGTGTAGCAAGCTGTGACTATACGCAGGGATGGGCAAATTATCAAAAAAAAGTAATTAATTACAAATTACAAATTACTCAAAATACCAGTATTTAATTACAAATTAATAATTACATGATTGTAGAATATTTAATTACAAATTACAAATGACATAATTGAATTACTTAAAATTACCAATTACATTTAAAAATTATTTATATAAAAAAGTGTATAAATTAAATCAAAAAAAGGTGGGTAAGTGGATGTACAGTAGGTTACAAGTGGGTCACTGTATAATGGATGCTATTAAATTTGAATTCAATGATACTATATCATTGTATAAGAAAAACGATTCTGAGCGAAGACGGTATGTCAGTCTAGGTTTAAGACAAATTATTATATAGGTACATATCGATGATATTAAAAAAAAATTGACCTATAAGAAATTCCAAATTAATCATATCACATTATCACAATATCCATTAGGTAGGTACTTATAACACGTTATACATCAACATCAATAACAAACCCTGATACAATCATAGATATATAATAGTACACTTTGAAAGTTTCAAGTAGGTACCCACGAATAATATTATATAATCACAACAAAATAACTAGGTTTTCAGAAAATATATGAAGAAAAAGATTTTCTCAGATCTACTATAGATGTACTGCGGCATACGGGTATATTGTAATAATTATAATTAATAAATACTAATAACTAATAATATGAAAGATATCAATCAAAAGTGTACAATTCTCAAAAACATACTGTAAAATATTTTCGGCATAAATAGGTTATTTTTAAGTTAAAACTAGTTGGGTTATGCTCATGTATATTTATATTTCAAATGTTCATATTTATAAACATTCAATATTTTCAGTAGACAAAATAGTCATAGCCCACATGGGTTCACTTTTCGTTCTCGGCTCTCTCAGCACTCAAGATTTACAATACTGTGTTATTAATAAATCATAAGATTGTATTTGTTTTGGCATTTTCAGTTTTGCATGCTTTTCGTACCTAATACATAATTTTATTAATGCAGTACCTATGTATAGAAAAGCTATTGGCTATTTCCTGTGTTCAATAATATTTATGATTTTTATTTTTTTAAACCATATTACTGGGTATTTATAAAGATATTATAAAAAAAAAACTCAACTTAACTTAAGTTAATAAGTTAATTGAAAATGTTCATATAACTTTTAACTTAACTGAGTTAAATGCAAATTAGGTTAACTGTTAACTTTGAACCTTTTAAAATGTTTTAAATTAATTTAACTTAATTCAGTTAAAAATTATCATTGACTTGCTAATGCTTGGTAATAATACTCTATCCTGTCCGAGGATAAACAAATTTACCTTAATCATATTTGTATAAAGAAAATTAGATACCTAACATAAAAATAATTCAAGAAAGTACCTATAGTCATAACTACAATTTATTATTAAAATGCACACAGTATACTATTATGTACCCGATAATATAAATAAGCAGCCACAAACGTTTATTATACACTTTTTTTTTTATTTTTCATATTAGGAGTATAATTATAAAATTTATTTTTTCTCATTCATCAAATGACATTCAAAAGAATGTGTTAACCACCAGTGACGTTTCTGAAATAAAAAAAGTGACGTTGATAATATTATAAAACAACAATTTTGTTAGTTAACAAATAAATTCCAATATTCTTACTTGGCAAAGGACCGAACAGTATCTAGCCAATTTACATTTGTTGCATATTATTTCTACATATGATGCACAATTGTCCATGTGGCACTAAAAAAAAATAACAACAAAAGCATTTTTAGAATATTAATATTGCTATTATTTTTATAAACTTTAAAGTGATCATAAACGGGGACCCACTAAGTCATTCATTAGTCGTTAACTCAAATAATATGGTTATTAGTCAGTGAAAACCATCAGTATTTAATACTATAAATATTGATAAATGAAAAAAGCATGTTACGTGTGGGTAACATGGATTTTTCAAAATCACTTTTATAGAATGCTTAAATATAATAAGCTCATGTTATAACACAAAATTTAAAAAATGATCTACTTACAATGAGTAATTTGTACATATCTTCTTTCATCAAATCTTTGGGATCTCTCAACCGGATCTTTGGAATATTCTCCATATTTGATTCCTAAAATGATTTAAAATTATAAACTTTAGTAAGTATTTTGATATTGATGTCATATTATATTAATTCATAATATATCTGTATTCAAAAATGTATTATTTCTATTTAATCATAGATTCTAAAATTGTTCAGTAAAATGATTTATTTAAAGTAAAAATTACATATAAATCTAACTCATCGGTGATGTCACAAATTATTTGAAAATTGACTTTCCTTTGAATAGAACAAAGGTTATAAAATATTAATAAAACATATGTTTAACGTTTATTTGACCTACAGTATTATGTTGTGCTTACATAAAAATTTAGATTATTTATGCATCAGGGTGTATAAAAATTGCAATATAAAACTTAGAACTACAAACTAGATCTGGATTAATTCAAAATATATACTATAAAAATTATTTTTTTTTTTACTTTAATTTGAGATAAAGCCGTGTTTATAAGGATTTGACGTTCCCAGACAATCTACATGTTAAAAAACAAAATGGCCACCGGATGACGTGTAGCATATTATTTTGCGTGCATAAACGAGAGTAGGTACAAGATAATATTATGTGTATTTCTTCATTTCATAAACGTTATTATGAAAAGTACTTACCTTCTATTTGAAATGACGCTAAACGGCTAAGATTAGCGTAAGCTAATTGAATATTTTTCAAATTTTCAGAAGCAAAAACACACATGTGTTATTCTGCTGACGTGCAAATCGTTGGTAGCGGTAGAGGGCGCTGAAACGTATCTAACGCGTCGGCTGCCGCCTGTGGCCGTGACGCCATCTGGTCGATGGAATGTCTACCCGGTACGAGTGCATGACGGCGGCCTCTGAGCTGCTGTTTGAATGTCGGGCGGTGACATGACGTCCGTGTTATGATAACATGTTATCATGTTATGCTGTGTTTATTATTATATTTTGTGTATATTGTATAAATTATATAACG